TTATGATCCCATTGAATGCCAGAAATTTCCCAGTGATTTGAAGGTTAATCAAACATTTTGACCTGATAGAGCTGCCTTCATAAGATGTGGTGGCGTAAGAGGGCTGTTCGGAGGAGGCCGTGGCAACATTCGCCAGCAGACTCTGGAGGACATTGCAGAAAATATCAGAGAACGCAAGTTCAAAAGAATTGTGGTGATGGCAGGGGCGGGTATCAGCACACCCAGTGGAATCCCAGACTTCAGGTAAAGAAGGACTCATAAGGGTCCACCTTTGAGATGGTTGCAACTTCTCTCAAATCATATTCCTCCCACAGAACGCCTGGCAGCGGTCTTTATGACAACCTTCAACAGTACAATCTGCCCTATGCTGAGGCCATATTTGAAATAAATTACTTTCATCACAATCCAAACCCTTTTTTTGCTCTTGCCAAAGAGCTTTATCCTGGTAATTACCAACCCAATCTGACACACTACTTCATTCGCCTGCTTCATGATAAGGGACAACTACTCAGGATGTACACGCAAAACATTGATGGACTCGAGCGAAGTGAGTGAAGTTCTTTTGTCTCACGTAACTAATGGTAAAAATAAGTTTCCATTGAAAAATGCTACTACTTAATCATGAAAAACATAATAGGTAATTTTATATATAGATAAAATTCATAAACTGTATTTGAAATTAATAAGGATAAATACTGATACAAAGAGAAACATAAAAAATTACATTCATTTGTTATGATTATTTTACTTGACATGCACAACATGGACTGATGCTCAGAGAGGCATTCTGTTAAGGTCAAGTTTGTGTTGAAAAGCTGCTAACAAATTGACATAATGTTCTCTTTTAAAATGTGAATGAGTGTAAATATCAACATTATCATATATGTCTAGTGGACTGAAGTCTGTCAGGTAAAACAAGAGCCTATTGAATACAATAAATATTTAGTTTATACACAGAGTTATGTTTCAACAAGTTCAAGTTAAACTTAAATAGTGCAACTCAAAAATATGTAGTAGTACACAAGTTGTAACTTGGTACCCCTTTACTCAAAACTAGACTAAGTTGTAACTTACACAGAGCTGGTGCAACTGGCTCCAGATTCATCTAATAATTAGCCTTTTTTTTAATTATTATTTATTATTATCAAAAAGTCTAGCAGAGTCAACGTTTGTCAAGTCAAGTTTATTTGTACAGCGCTTTTCACGATACAAATCATTGCAAAGCAACTTTACATTGTTTGTGTAAATCATTTATAAATGTCATTGATCTTTCATTGATTACAGTGGCTGGCATTCCCCCAAAGATGTTGGTGGAGGCACATGGAACATTTGCCACGGCCACATGCACAGTTTGCCGAAGGGATTACGAGGGAGAGGAACTCAGGGTAAGTATGTGTCGTTGAACTATGGCATTGAATATTTCCCCCCTGGAACTGCACTTCAAATAAACTCACACTCCTTTATAAACAAGCATTTCACAACCTGATTCTGACTGAATATTCTTTTGCTGTGATTTGTTTATGGTATGGTTGTTGAAATAATGAGTTAATCTCCTGATTTATGACTGTCTCCCGTTAGAATGATATCATGGAAGGAACAATACCCAAATGCCCTACTTGTAAAGGAATCATCAAGCCTGACATTGTGTTCTTTGGTGAGGAGCTTCCTCAGCAATTCTTCACCTACCTTACAGACTTCCCGATAGCAGACTTACTCATTGTCATGGGAACATCTCTAGAGGTGAGGAAAAGCTGCTGGATCTGTTAATGAGCTTTTTGTAAAGCTTAGCTCTGGATTTGTACCCACCGAACAAATGCAGTGTGAGACCAAGCCCCTTAAATACATTTAAACCCATTAGTTGCCGTATTTTATGAGTATGTGGGCAACGTCTGGTTGGCTTGCACTTACATAGTTGAGTCTTTAGGGGCTTTCGCTCCAGTGGAAGGCTTTCGTAGTTTCTCTAACTATTGGTGGAAGTACCTGCTTTTTGACACATTTCCACCCCAGGAACTAGACACATTTCCACCCCTGGAACTAATGATTTTAGTTATAGGAACACCTTTTTGGATTGGACTAAATTAGCTCCTAATTCAGAGTAGGGTCTAACCCAGCACAATAGGAACTACCAGTGACGTAAGTGTAAATTGATTGATCGAACAGATGTGTATGAAACATCGGCCAGTGCCAGGCACTTCTCTGTCCTCCATCCTCCAGTTGTTGACGTTGCTGAATGTCACGCTTAAATGACATTGCTGTCGGCCGGCCTACGTCATTTAGGAGTTCCTACTGGTGGTGCAAATGCAACCATGTTATTATTAACAGTAGTGAATTGTTTTGATAGCAGGAAAGTCTCTGTAAAACTTCACAGAATATGAAGCGCATGTGCATCAAACAGAAAAAAAATGCAATTCTGACTAAAATTTACATTGCGCTACAATACTTCTTGTTGGACAGATGTATGTTTGAAATTCTACATGTGACAAGTTGTATGTTATGAGAGCAGTAACAGTGATTATTGTAATGAAATATAAATGT